ATATATATATATATACACAGGTGAAACTCGAATAATTAGAATATCGTGCAAAGTTCATTTATTTCATTAATGCAACTTAAAAGGTGAAACTAATATATGAGAGAGACTCGTTACATGCAAAGCAAGATAATTCAAGCCGTGATTTGTCATAATTGTGATGATTATGGCTTACAGCTCATGAAAACCCCAAGAACCCCAAATCCACAACTTCAAAAAAGTAGATTATTACATGCAATCAATAAAACAAGGATTGTACATAGAACAATATCGGACCTCTGAAAAGTACAAGCATGCATATGTACTCAGTACTTGGTTTGGGCCCCTTTTGCAGCACTTACTGCAATTACTTTTGCACGATATTCTAATTATTTGAGTTTCACCTGTATATATATATATACATACTGTATATAAAATAAGAGTCCCCAAACTTGAGACACTTGATTTCTTGATTCGCTTATATCAGCCTACAGTTGTCAAGTTGTATGCTGTTTCACCCTTCTTGCCTCTAACAGGTGGTTTTACTGACCAATAGAAGATATGAGATACAGTAGGGGTCAGGCCAGACCTGGAAAAATGTTCATACTTGTGTTACCTCAGTATGATTCCTTACTCAGTAAAATAGAAAGGGTATGTGCTGCGCTGTGTGCATGTTTTTCAATCCTGCTAGTCATTTTCCACATTTACATCATAATCCTAAATGCTACAGCCAAGCTGTATGTTCTCACAGTGTCCAGTAGAACTTCTAATTTGTTACCTTTCAAGAGTTCCCAAGTGAGGCAATCAGTGATAACTACTTGCGTTAGTACATCCTTCAAATATTTTTGCAAAGCCAAACCATCACCTTCCTGATCACTATGCTAAATCTCTTTAAAGAAGGACACATTGTGAACAATGCTGTGGCAGGAATTTTGGTCAGAAAGGACCTTTAATCTTAGATTTTGGTGTTATCATCAACTCTTTAGGCCACGTTTTCAGCTTTATTTATGCTAAAAATGTTAATCCTTATTTTGGTAGTTAAAGCGACTATGCTGTTTGAAAAATAAAGTCTTTAAAAAAGTTTCCTGAAAAAATACACTTAATACTTATGTCTTTGGAAGGCAAGCCCTCACCGCACCTTCTCGAATGGCTGTGGCCTTTGGCAGACTATTAAGTATCCAACACCGTACTTCGTAAATACCTTGGGAAAGAGGGACACCATCTAGCTGAATATATGTATGGGACACACCCCTGCTATGCCCCTAGTTACGCAGACCATTAAGAAATTAGATAACAAAAATGATTGATTAAACCTCAAATGTTTTTTCCACCATTACATTTTTATTATACTGGCATTTCAAAATAGCAAGCAAGATAATTAAGAGTTAGGATGTAGATTTTCGTGCATAATAACACTTTTTGATGGTAAATAGCATATTTTCATAGATATTTGCACATCAGACCAAGAGGACAACTGAGGAGGAAAGAGGGACAGATGGAAATGGTTCCAAAAGTGGGACAGTCCCCCCAAATGAGGGACAGCTGGGAGGTATGTCCAACACTTGAGAATACTGGATCCCTATGTCCTCACTGCATACTGTGGCTTCTTCTGCCAGTCTCAATGTAACTATAGCATCAAGCAGGAGAAACTGCATTGCAAAGTAAGGAACAAGGCACCTAGCCAAACCAGAAATGTCGGATACTGAAAATCCTGCCTTAGGCCCAACTCTTGAAGAGAGAGCAACTCTCTGCACTCTGCACACTGCATGTAAACTGGTTTTACAGTTCTGCACCATCGCTACAGTTCAGATATCATTGGTAATATGTAGTACCCTGTGATAGGTTGCATCCAAAACCCTCCTTGCAGCAGTTTGGTTGGTTTGTCTTTTTAACTACTTCAGCTTTTACACTTGTACACCTCCTATAGTCCAGAGAAAGAGAGAAGCTTATTGGTTGCCATGCACAGCTGCTCCAGATTTTGTCTGCTCCAGTTTTAATAAATTCCCCTCACTGTTTTTTGTTTTTTAGGCCAGTTTTATTTAAACAAAAACGAAGGTCATTCCTTTGATCTGCAGATGAATAAAATACAAAAGTCACAATGTTACATTGTATCTCACATCTGAACATTATATAAACATTTATAAACACAGTCAGAAGTTCAGTTTTTAGACAGCATCAGCTGTAATAGCTGCTGTATTCTGACAGCAACTCCTGGCTGTCAGTTTGACACCCGGGAATTGCTGGAGGAGGCAGCAACATAAGTCTCAAATAGACATGTAAGCTGGCAAAGAATTTGTTTAGTTTGGTTACACTTCGGATGTTTTGTTATTTCATTTTTTGGAATCCGGGTCTAAAAGTGAATTTGTTTTGGCATTCGGATTCAGATAAATCCGAATTATCGTTAATTTCGGATGAGTTAAATTATAATTATGAACAAAAATTTGTTGCAGAAAAGCAGCATTAAATGTTTACTTTGTTTCTTTTTAACTTTTGATAGTCCACAGGAACAAAACCCTTTAAGTCTGGTAGAAATGTTAGGAGGGGACCTCTGATGTAAAAAAAACAAAAAACAACAACAACGTGAGGTCACCCCAATTCACACCAAACCTGGTAGGAATGTTAGGGAGGACCCCAGATGTAAAAGGACCAAAAAAAAACAGCATGTGTTTCCCCTTTAGGTCTGGTAGGGATTTTAAGGGGGACCCCAACTCCAAAAAAATGAAAAAGAAAAATGTTGGGTCTCCCTAAAGTCTCATACCAGACCCTAAATCTGGTCACCAGCCTGGCAGGGCAGGAAAGGGGGAGGACAAGTGAGTGTCTCACCCCCTTCCCTGCACATCCCATGCCGATGAGGACAAGGGCCTGCTCCACACAACCCTGGCCTAGTGGTTGTGGGGGTCTGCAGGCAGGGGGGGTCATCTGCATCTAGGTACCCCTTTTCATAATGGGGGAACCCAGATGCCCCCCTTGTGAATGAGTAAAGGGTAGTTGTACCCCTACTCATTCACTAAAGAGTTAAATAAAATGTTAATAAACGCACAACTTAGAAAAAATTCTTTTAATCGAACAAAAAACACAACACAAGTTTTTGACAATTCCTTTATTTTAAAAAAAATGTCCCACGATGCCAATCCTGACCCTGACCAACTGACAAGAAAAAAAACAACCACCCGCTGCTGGCTGCCCGATGCAATATTCACATCAGGTAGTGGGCAGAAAACAGCAAAGCCTGCTATTGGCTATTTAAAATTGAAATAGCCAATAGCAAGCTTGCTAATGCATCCGCCCACTGCCTGATGTCAATCACAGAGGAGCGGACTTAAGAGAGAACTTTCTCTCTCAGGTATGTTCCTCTGTGTGAGCAATAGCTATTCTGGTATTGGCTATTTTTAATTGTAATAGCCAATAGCAGGCTGGCTATTGCTCCACCCACTGCCTTCTGTCAATCAGAAGAGGAATGGCTATTGCTCACACAGAGGAGCAGACCTGAGAGAGACAGTTCTCTCTCAGGTCCGTTCCTCTGTGATTGACATCAGGCAGTGGGCGGGTTCATTAGCCAACCTGCTATTGGCTATTTCAATTTAAATAGCCAAAATCAGGCTTTGTTGTTGTTACCCGATGTAAACATTGCAGGGTAAACAAGGTACAACTGCCCCTTACTAATTCCCAAGGGGGGGGCAGCATCTGGGTGCCCTCTTTATGAAAGGGGGTAGCCAGATGCAGATGACCCCCCTTGCCCACAGACCCCCGCAACCACCAGGTCAGGGTTGTGGGGAAGAGGTCCCCCCCGAAAAGCACCCTCCCAATGCAGAGGGTATGTGGCCTGCTATGGTGGAGGGAGGGGGGCGCTCGCTCATCCCCTACCTTTCCTGCTTTGCCAAGCTGCTGCCCGGATTAAGGGTCTGGCATGGGATTTTTTTGTGTTGGTGTCCCCCTTAAAATTCCAACCAGACCGAAAGGGTCTGGTATGCATTCCCGGGGAACCACATGCTGTTTTTTCAGGGTTCTTTTACATTGGGGTCCCCCCTAACATTCCTACCAGACCTAAAGGGTCTGGTATGAATTGTCGGGGAACTGCACTTTGTTTTTTATTATTATTATTATTACTGTTGACTGTTTAACACTTTAGTGTATTCTGTAACAGCTGTCAGATTCTTTGTTTACATTAGGGATCGAAAATGTCAGCAAAGAAGCAGAAGATGTTACAGAATAACACAGATCTCTCTGCCTCTTCCTTTGTTTACATTTTGTAACAATATTCTGCTACTTTGTTTACAATCGGGATACAAGTCAAGAATGTCAACAAAGAGCAGAGAGCTGTAAATGACCCACAGCTCTCCCGCTTCTTTGCTTCGTTCTGAATGAAATTCACAAGTATCCGAATTTCATTATCAAACATTCAGATACGTTCGGATTCGTTATTTCTGTAATTTCCGAAAATTCGGATGCATTCGAATGTCCAAATTTCCAGAAATTCATACAAATTTCAATTCGGAACAAAATTAATCACACATGCCTAGTCTCAAGCCTACACTTGATCCTACTCTGCATGGCTCCATGCTGACTCTCTACTCTACTTGATGTACCCTAAGGTAAGCCTCTGAAACCCTTACATTCCTACCGCTTGAGTCTGTTGACAATACAGCAAGTGTGGCCAATTTAGCATAAATCCAGACTTTTGAACTCTGTGAAAACATATTATTTTATCTAATTAGTCAGCTGTTGCATGTCTAAACCTTTTGTTCCTGTTGATAGATTTTCTTTAAATAACCGTGATAACATAATAAAATTAAATGTGTCAGCATGATACAGCATACTGTTCTAAAAAGCTGTTTTTGTTCACAGAATTGCCTCAACAAGCAGCAGCTCTTAGCCGCCATTCGACAGATGCAGCAGTTCTTAAAAGGACAAGAGACAAGATTTGCAGAAGGAATCCGAGTCATGAAGAGCCGACTAAACAACTTGCAAAATACTGTCATTAAAACTAGTCCAGATGCACCACCAGGTTAGTATCTACACATATATATATATACACTGAGTGGCCCGATTATTATGACCACCTGACGTTTGTAGGCAAATTAGCTATAATTTTGCGCTGAAGTTGCTAGAGGGCCAGACCATTATAAATAGAGAAGCAGGTTGTTTACCACGACAGTAGAAGTGATTTTTTTTCTGAAGATATGGGTAAACAATGCGATTTAACAGCCTTTGAACGTGGGATGATTGTTGGCGCTCTGAGCCATGGTGCGAGTATCAGCAAAACAGCAGAATTCTTTAAATGTTCAAGAGCAGCTGTTGTTAAAGTGTTTAAAGACTGGACTGTCAGCCAAAAATCTGGGTGCGAATTGTGGCTGTCAGTGACTAGTCAATGTTAGGGCAGAACGGAGAGTGGCAAGACTGGTACAAGACAACAGAAGGGCAACAGTGCAGTGTCAGATTCCTCGCATCACCTTTCAACATCTCGTGGAGTGACAAGGCGGCCCAACGAAGTCATCTCGTGGAGTCATCTCGTGGCCCAACGAAGTACTGATGGGGTGGTCATAATAATCTGGCCACTCAGTGTATATAATCAACCATAGTTTAAGTCCTACGTGTCCTGTAGCATTCTTATCCACAGTACTAAGGCCACGTGGCTCCACTCAATCCAATTTAGTCTCTGCATACAATTACATTGTATATTGTGCATGTTTTGTATCTGCAAATAAACAAGATGAAATAAGAAAGATCTGTGTGCAGAGACTACTGTACTCCAAGTAGATTGATAGCACACCACTCCACTTCACCATCAAACTTTTATTGGAAAATGCAATACACAGTTAAATAGCATCCCCACTTCTTCTACTGCCCACCTCTAACATGTTTCACCCCCATGGTCTTAGTTAGATAGTAGATATCTCTCTATATCAAGCTTTATTATTATGAGTAAGCCCATATGAGTGAAACGCATTAGAGGTGGGCATTAGAAGAAGCGGTGGTGCTGTGTGACTGTGTATTGCTGTGTTTTACAATGAAGTGGAGCAGTTTGCAATCAATCTATTTGGACCCACTCACACTAGTCAGTTGTTCTGGCTTCTCTAAACTGTTGAGATTGGACATTTGATTGGTTGTTCCATTACATGGACCAATACACACTCACACACCAACTCAAACATAAATACACACACACACAATAGGTTGGGCTTGATGGACTTATGTCTTTATTCAACCTCAAATACTATGAAACTATGTAACTATTACCAAGGTTTTACATGCTTATTGCTTGATGCACAACCTTATTGAATATTTTCAACTGCTTGAGCTCTACATAACTTGCAATAAAATAATAATTATTTATTTTCTCAGGCCTATGTAATTAACGAACCAAATAAAAAGGGACTTTTTTATGACTGTATAAAATATATTTCACTTAACAAGTTGCATTACATTTATATTGCCTGGGTTGGACAGAGGAAATATTAGTCATAAATATTTTGGTAATTAGAAAATTCTTGTCCTCAGCTGACACATAAACAACCTAATAAGTAATGTCGTATTGCAAAAAGCAGCATGACTCTGTTTTGTGTATTATATAGCACAGATATACCTCCTATAAATACATAGTAATTAAATATTTCACCCAAGGCAAAGACACCAAAGTGTGATTACCCCATGAGGTGAATGGAGCTTGCACATCTGCACATACAGAAAGAGAATTTACTAAGACTGGAGCAGGCAGAATCTGGTGCTGTGCATAGCAACCAATCAGCTTCTAGATGTCATTTTTAAAGCTTACCTGAACAAACTGAAGATAGAAGCTGATGCATAGCTTCTCCAGCTTCTGTCTGCTCCAGCTTAGTAAATTCCCCTCACGGTGTCTGAGCTGGCCCAGGGGGCAAAAATGACAGCCATAAGATTATCACCTTTTGGTCCTTGGAAAGGTGAATTTGATGGGGGAAGGTGTTGTGACGTGAATAAACTAGTGCCATTATCCATGGACACTATGGGGGTGATTTACTAACCTAAACACACGCATGCACTAGGTGCGTGTGATTTTTACACAGCAAAACGTATTTATCAACCAAAAAGTCTCTAAAAGCATATTTCCTCTAATGCCATATATGGAAAAATCATGCACATGATGCATATATAATGCTGCTTCACAGTTTAGACAAAAATGGTTAGCTCATGCATTTACATTCCTGCATTCATCAATGCAAGCAACACAATGTAGAGCTAATTTACACAACATCACCTTGCATGCAGGGCTTTGCACAACACACCTGCTGGGTGTGTACACACTACAAAGGTGTCTAGATTCCACCAATAGATCATGCTGGGAGGGTACACACTACAGAGGTGTATACTTGTTTGTGGCGTGTTTATAAGGTTAGTAAATCAACCCCTGTGAAACAGGGCCAGGGTTTCATTAATATTATTACACCGAAATCCTTTCTATCATCTGGGAACTATGGTACCTTTTACCTCATCAAAAGAGGACATTTTATTTTGTAAGTTGTCCCTGTTCTAGTGGTACTAAAATGATGTTTCTGGTACAAAGCACTGTTTAATGTGGTGCTACAAAACAAAGCGGTGCAAATTAATTAAAGGCAAACTCTGGGTCTTCATTCTGTGTAATCCATCAGAAATGAAGTAGGCAGGGCTGACACCACGTGTTTAGGAATTCAGAAATGTGTTGTCATGCCAAAGAGGAAGGTAGGAGCATGTTATATTTTTGGCATATCAACAGTTTTTCTGTAGTTGCAGTATGTTTAAAGGGATAAAACATGGGGGAATGTGTATATGTTCCAAAATAGCCTTTGCATTTGCTGTAATTGATACCGTAGTAATAGACCACATATGCAAATATATCATTTCCAATCTGGTGGGCAGAGCCAGCTGCTGGTATATTACACCTCTTGGAGTGAGAAGAATTCCCTGCCCTGCTTCCCTGCCCTATTCCTCTTCTTAATGACTACAGCTATTGTGCAGATCTGAGAACTTGGCACTGTCACAAAGGCATACATGAAAACTGTTAGATGATTTAAGATTCCAGAATGTGCCCAAAACTAAAATTTGGGGTTGAAGGGTTCTTTAATTCTAGATCTTGTCACTTTTAATTGAGGAAAATGGTTGAGATAATGTCAACATTTTGAAAATATTACAGCTTTTTGGATTAATTACTTAACTTGGAAATCTGCAGCTTTTAGTATACATTACTGTTTACTGAAGGAATTAATTATGTCATTATGTTAAAATAATAATAGTCAGAGCTTATAATTTGTTGCATATGTTGAAGAAGTTCTATACACAGATGTGCTGGGAAATACAAGTCTGTTATTGTTTTGTATTTTTTAGTTACGTGCCCAGCACTGGAAGATCCTGACAATGGAAACAAGTTTGGCTCTAAATATCTTGTAGACCATGAAGTCCATTACACGTGTGACTCAGGATACCAGCTTATTGGTCCCAACAGCAGGATGTGTCAGCAGAACGGAAGCTGGACTGACGATGCTCCTTACTGCAAAGGTTTATATTGAGAGTTTTTTATTAACACTTTAAATAATAATGCGAGTATGAAGTAAATGTTTTATTTAGTGAAGTCTTTTTAGTTTAGATGGCACAAATGAAACTAATGTCTTAAACAGGAAAACAAGCTAAATGAACAACTAAAATATGTTTGGGAACTGTTTTTTTTTCAATTGACCCGAGCCAATAGAAAAAAAAATAAAAGCGATTCAGGAAAGGAAGGATGATGTCCTTGTATCCAAGCAGACAGAACAAAGAGAGACTGAAGATAAAGTACATTCTTACAGAGTTTTTACAGCTGCTATCTAGAAATACCTAGAGAGCTATAAACAAAGACGTATAACATCATCAGTTATTAGTTCAGTTAATCAGTAAGAGAATTTTCTTCAGTGTTAGATCTTCTGACCTCAAGGCCAAATGAAGCAGCTTCCTTCCCCCGGCCAGAGTCATGACAATGTAAATAGGGTATTACTGTATTATTGTAAAATTACGCAGTGCTAGAATCACCCACTAGGTGAGGCTAATGCACCTTACCTATAAATTCTGGGGCAGGAAAGAGAAAGAGGAGTAGAGGGACACGTGAGAACAAAAAGCCATGAGGGAATATGGAGAGACAAGTAGGATCTCCCCCTGTCAGCACCTAGGACGTTTTTAGGGGGAGAACCTCAACTGTGGAACTGGCAAGAATGAGTCACCCGCTCTGGAGGTAAGTGGGCAATCAGTCGGGCACACCCCCTCAAAGGAGAGGCCAGTGATGCCACTGGCCTGAATACAGAAGCCGTCAATAGCTTGAAAATGCACTTATAAGACAGGCACCGCAACAACCTTCCTCACCCTTGCTTATTGGACTATGTATGTATACCTTGATACAGGTAACCAGGTTATGGGCTTGTTCACTGTTACTGTTCTTAAAGATGAAATGTTAATTTATTCCACGTTTGAAATGTTTCTATGTTCAGTAAAGCATTCAACGTTATGAAAAAGCCCTCATGTGATGTGTGTTATGCATTAAAAGTAGGTGAAGTTGCTGTTGGGCTGCAGGCAGCCGGTCAAATGCATGGAAGACTTACAATATGAGGGTCTTGTAGAGCAATGTACTAAGTTATGCACAACCAGTACCTGGGAGAGCAATGTATGTTTAAGCAGCCAGCTCTGGGCAGAAGTGGTGGTGGTTTAAAAGAAGAAAGTTGATCGGTGGAGCTGGTTGGTACCGTTGGGATGAGTGTACCCCTTTGGGAGTTGTTCCTGCAAAGCTGTGGCCTCTGGCTCTGGAGAACTGCCTTCACAACTCCAGTTGCCAGGAGGTGCTTTTTTAGTGTAGACCCTCAAGGTCACCTTTTACAAGTAATGGCGTAGTCTTTTCAGTCAGACCACCCTACAACTAAGTCATGCTGCAAGAAGAAAAATCTCAAAAGATCAGAGGTAAAAACATTCCAGGAAGTGTTGATTCTCTATCTAATTAATGGAGCTGAAAACTCTTTTTAGAGGGCTACTGTTATTGCTGTTTTACTCATTAGACCTCTATTGGTTGAACTCGATGCTCTAAACGTTGATCTCGATGGACTTGTGTCTTTTTTCAACCTGACTAACTATGTAACTATGTGACCTATGTATTAACCTTTCTTATTATGGTATAAGTATGAGTATACAAGTGTACTTGATCATGTATTTAATACCAGTAGCAGATGTTGCATGTTAAACGTTAGTTCTTACATCTCAGTTAATTCTGTGTTGCAATAAAAATAAATACTTTAGCAGAATTTATGTTCCTTCATAGAATTATGAACATCTTATCTGTTGCCAGAAAGGAAAATATGTGATGAGGGGAGTTGAGCAATGTGGTGCAAAGAGTTGAGGGCTGAGGACATTTTTGATATCACAAATTATAAGTGACCTTGTCTTTGGAGTCGGCCACACACACATTGCTGGAAAATGACAATTCATTATTAATGTCAAATTAGTTTAATCATATAAGCAACTAGAAAGTTTTCCCATTGTTTCTATCCTGGGTCAAAAGTAGGCCCAGAAATCTTTACACTTTTATAGCTGCTCTTTCAGGATTGTTCATACTAATGAATTCCATGTTTGAGGCAAATACCGCCTCCCAGGGAAAGCAAAGATGGTAGGTTTTACTGACAGAAAAGCTTAGTGTACCTGTATACTTTATGTGTATTTTAAAAGAGCAAACTTAGCAAATACATTTTGAAAATTTAGTTATCCTTTAAAAAAAAAAACTAGAAACAATATTATATGAACATCAGTTTCACAGATGGTGAAGGACCACACCTAAGCTCCCAACGTAACTGGTTATTAGACACGGATTTAGAGTGCTACTGATAAGAAACTTGGAAAATATTACAGCAAGACAGAAGATTGTTCTGTCCTTCCTTACTTAATACCAGTAAGAATTTATGATGGGATTCTTTATTAAAAAATCCCAGGCATTCCATTCCTTTAGAGCTTAAGGAACTACAAATCTCTAGTCTGTTACCACCTGTATATTTTCACCACACAGTACATTTTTTCAAACTTATCAAATGTAATCTGTGGCAAAGGATACTGATGATAACTCAGCAATACCCATACCTTTACACAGGAGAACAAAGATTGGGTTTGTGAAGTTGCAATATGAAGCATGTGTGGGTTAAAGGAAAACTTCAGCCAAAAATACCTTTCATGTAGTCTTTAAAGCTGAACACTAGACAATCAGCTAAATACAAGCTAAAGTACATATACATCGACATTTTACCTTTTTACCTTGACCGGCTGTTCAACCAGTGTTATGATCCAGGCCATTCTGTTGTGCCTCTATTTAAAAAAAATACTTGCAAAAAATATTTATACCTTCCATTCTTGCCACCTGCACTGCCAGTCTCTCCTGTCTTCATACGCTACACTGGCCTCAGGTCTTCAGTATCCAACACGGTCCAGGGAATGCCTGATCTTTCTTGGCATGCCGCGATCCCTTCCTCTGGCCCTTACCTCATTAAACGGCAAAGTAGGGATGTAGGGTGTGAAGCAAGGAACCAAAATCGAAGTGTTTTGGATGTTTCAATCCGTGTAGCTCATGAAGACAGCAGAGAATGATGGTGGTGGGAGGGATACTGTAAGTATTAACTATTTTCTTTGAAGGCATGCATTTGGGTTATATTTTTTAAATAGTGATAGAGTCACTCAAAGCAATACAGCCTGGTGAAGGACCTAGCCCAGCCTAAAATTAGACAGTGAAGCAGCAGCACATGAATGTTGTCCCTGTGATCTCCCCTACCCTCCTGTAGACGTGTTCACCATTTCAGACTGACAACACTGATTTTCCCTTGCTTACAGGAGCCTTCAGTGTTCTGGCATACTTTTAGCTCAACATTTGATATTGTAGAATGCTATGTGTAAAGTAATCTCGTTGCGGCTCTATGGAATAAACTTAGCTTATTGTAATACAAACTATGACTGTGTTTTACAGATTTCCATTCAATATTCTCAGCTTTGCCAAGCAGATAAAAACAGAAAGTATGACTAAGCACAGACTAACAAATAACTCTCAGCATTCACTGCCAAGCAATTAAATATTTAATTTCTGTGATAATGTCAAGCAGACAGACAAATAATTCCTCAGACAGTGCCAGAACACTATTGAAGTAGCTTATCCCCCTAGTATTGTTGGCACGCAATATCTGCACTGCATCATTCTGTATGCCTATTCTCCTGTCACTCAGACTCTACCTCTAGCAGGCATGCACATGTTCCAACAACACTAAGTCACTGTAGGCACATACAGCTTTGTTTCCACCATAGGCACATATAGCACTTTTGCTTTAGGAAGCAGAGAGCAGTACATAAGGGGAAGCAGAGTTTGAGGTGGTGATGTCACTTCCTGTAGTGACATCAGTCATCAGAAAAATGTATATCTTTCACTCACAGTAAAGTAAAGGACCAAAACCAAGGGTAAGTGGTAACTTAAAACACATTAAAAAGGCATTTTGTTATGGTAATTTTTGTTAATTAAACATATAAGAGTAAAAAACAATGGAGGTTGGCTTTGGAGGTTTAGTGGGAAAATTCATCACCCAAAAGTTGTCAACATTGTAACACATAGCAGGAAACATTCTATACTGAAAATGTGTTGTATAGTTCATAAGACTTTTCAAAATAGTGTTTCGCTAATTGCCACATGAACACTCAACCATTTAACAATTCTAGCAAAAAGGGCTTGAAAAGAAATTAAAGTTGAAAAAGTTAAATAAATTATTTAAACCCTTTGGTCGAATAGCAACAAAATATATTTCAGAGGTTTCTAAGTTACATCAGCAAAAGCAGCAGAGGAACTGTACAGTAAGCTTTGTCTTCTAAACATTTATCAAGATCCTTTGAGATTGCATAGTTCTTGGAAATGTATCATCATTACCTCAGTCTAACATCAATAAGGTAATCAGTCTTCCATTGTTCCCCATTCAGTATAATCATGAAAGAAAGAAATTGCATTCCTTATATGTAAACTTCTCAGCATCTCCCTAAATATTTCAGTGGCTGGATCCAAAAACGATTTTTAGGCAGCAAAGAAATACTGCCAAAACAATTATCAAATGACAGAATTGATTTATGCTAAAAATTAGGTTTATCCAGCAATAACAAATCTTAAAGCTCATGCAACTAGAGCAGCCCTAACTCATGGGCTGAACTGATTTTAGATTAGCTAAAGTCAAATATTGTAAATTACCTGGTACTCATTAAACACCTAAGCTTTTGGCTAACATATTGTGTATTGCCTGAGAAGGAATTCAAATAGAAAAATGTCTCACTTGCTGAACCTTTACAAAAGGACCCCATTCTATTCTGGTCCTACCTACAAATCAGACATTTTCTCAATGCTTCTAACAACCGCCATTTCTTTAGTAGGCAGTTATCTAAATTTGAGTTGCTCTTCGACTCCTATTTGCCACCCAGTCTCTTACCTATACACTGAACTGACTCATGTAGTGAAACTGGACTGTGACCCAGCTGCCTCTGCATGGGAAAGAGGCCTGCAAATCACATTAGCTGTTAATGACTGGGAGATCATGAATATTAACATGTTGAAGGGCTCCAAAAATGTTGCCATACAAGAAGAAACTAACTACAAATTACGATCTCACTGGTACCAGACCCCTGCGATTCTCCATAAAATCTCCTCTAATATTCCCAAGATATGCTGGCGCTGCCAAGAAGATAAGGGCACTTTACTCTGCATATGGTGGACTTGCCCATTGATCAGTCCATTTTGGTCAAGAGTTTGTGATCTTCTAGAGATTATCACCGGTGAACTGATTTAATTTAGCCCAGACTGATATCTTCCACACTGATCTGACATGTCCTCCTCAAAATATAGGGAATCTCTTACCATACACCTTTTAAATGCAGGAAATACGGGTTATACCAAGATTCTGGAAATCACCCACAACTCCTGACCTGCATACCTGGTTCAGGTACATTGAGAATATCTCTGAAATGGAAGAATGAATACATATTACTTGTGACAATATCTCCAAATATACGCATATCTGGTCTTGCTGGGAGCTCCTCAAAGACACAACAAGTTATACTGATATTGTCAATCCCTATACTGCGTTTGCTCCTTCAACATAGACCTTCAATGCTAGCTCACATAGAGTTCTGGAACTTACTGTTTGATCAGGGGCCTTGGTTTGTAAGCGAGTACCTCCTTACGGGGGGAGGAGGGGTTGCGGCCGGGGGTGTCCCCTTCCCCTTTTTTTTCTTTTTCATTGGCTCTTCCTCATCTTTTCTTTATTTCTTCACATCCTGTATCATCTTCTTTTTTTTCTTTTCACTTCTCTCCTTTGATCTCTCTCTCTCATGCATCTGTTCTAATCCTGGTCGCTGACCATTTATAACTCTGACGCATTTCTATCTTTCCTTTTCTATTTAGCCATCATTCTCGCACACTTTAAATTCACCTTCCTTACCAATGCTGCAAGAGCAACCCCTAGGCTACAACTGCAGCCACTAGGCTCCAAGGCTCTCCTATTAGCATGCTTTCGCCTTTCCCACCTGGAGGAATGTGACCCATGTACCACTATGTGCTTTTCTTTCACTTTCTTTTCTCCCCTCTTTTCTCTTTTTAATTTGTCAGTCATTTATGAACAGAACCTGAAAACTAGCTCAGTCATGAAGGGGTTAATATTCTAATATCTGATCTCAGTACATGATAGTATCTGATTCTTTATCTATGATTTCTATTGTTTTATCAGTCTGGTTCGATTTCGATGCACTTTCTGAAAGCTTCAAAAATATGATTCTGTTAGAAAAAAAATTGAAAAAGTTCTACTGACCATTAGGGTTGAAGGATTTCAGCAAAGTTCACTTTAATTACACAGAAGTGGAAAATTTCAATTTCACAAATTTTTGTCTTATTTTGTTCAGTTTTTTCTTTCTTTTTTGTGTATTTGATCATTATTTGTGTAATGTTACATTATAATTTCTTTATGTAGATTTTTTAGGATAGAGTAGATTTGCTTATTTTATTTTGTCGTCTTTTTATTTGTGTTTATTCTTATTTCGGGTATTTGAGCATTATTAGGCTACTGTCGCTTTATATTTTTAATTTACTTTTTTTTACTTTTTCTTTCTGTTAAAAAAAACTCAAGAAGGAGGCTCCATCACTAGATGGAGCTGAGGAGCATAGGAAATAAATACTAATTTTCTATGCTCCTCAGCTCCATGTGGTGGCCATAATATGGTATTTTCCTGATGTTAAATTTGGACTGAAAAGAAAATATGCAAGTAACATTGATTTTGGCCTCCATCTCTACGAAACAACTGTACATGCAACTTTGCATGGCGAATGGCTCTGCAAATTGTTTATAAATCCACCACCTACTGTCTAGACAGGAAGTTATGGGAAATCCCCCCTATCAGGACTCAGATAGCAATAAAACCTAGATAGCTTCACCTGTGAAGACATACGTACCATGTACCACTGCAAAAGGACTTTGTTCACCAAGAAAAGAAGGACATTTCTAAAGAGTAGTAAGCCAGTCTTTGTTGACAAACAGGGTCTTAATAAGATATAATTCCCATGGCAACATATAGGATAGTTTACTTTGTGATTTCAGTATGATTTAATACATAGGTTGAAGGCCTGTACATCAAATTGATAGCTTGTTGACTTCAAGATTCAAAGAGAAAACCAGTTGTCAGAAGATTTATGTAAAGGAGCCTTAATATATGCAAATTGTATACATTGTAAAAAAAGTTGTGGTTTGTATAAAGTAATTGACAGGTATGAATGCCTTCCTAGGAGATTCAGTCTCCACACACCACAATCCCTGTTCAGCCATCACTGGCATCTATTAATTTACAAACCGGGAATTTATATAGCACTGGCAAAAAATGTCCAATGGCGTGTGAGGAGACCACAGTTTATATATCATAGAGAGATGGTCTCAAAAGTAGAGTAGGACGAGGTAGGAAATAAAACAGTAGGGCAAAGTTTTGAACAGATCCATTAGTCTTGATAAGCATGACAATGTCTACAAAAAGGACCATTGAGGCCTGACAATTGTAGCCTGTGTAAGTTGAGCAAATTGGGCCAAACAATATTATAGCAATAGATCATTACGCCCATGTTAATCCTCGGTTCAACGTTTTTCTAAATAAACTTTAAATGTGAAATGAAAGAAGAGTAGGGATTCTTGTGAAAAGCACCTGAAAATGCAGCATTTGACGAAATAAACATTTTTGACCTGCTTTGCCCGCAGTTCAGCACACCTCAATAGGGCATGCTGCATCCAAAGAAATGCAAAGTTGGTCAAATGCAGCCTCTGAACTGTCATGTTAACAGCTCCATTAATGTAAAAGACACTTTGCTGACCTGTATTTGATGTGTGTTTAAAATGTGCTTCAAATGCAGGAAAATAATGCCCATGTACAAACCCCATATCTTATTTCCAAATTCGAATTGCTGACTTTGCTCCAATTTCAGTTTCTGCTTACTTGTTCTGTGTCAGCTACAGAGAGCTACACAACTAACAGTACATTTTTCCTTTAAATGTGGTCTAGATTTCCCATATTATATTTATAGGCATATAAAATTTTAGTATACAAATAAAATAACAGGAGGGACAGGGGTATATTTAATTATTGTGGTAAATGTTAGCATTTGTATTTTTCTTGGTACTATATAAACAAGTTTATTGTGAAAGTACAGAAGCGGTTTTATTGCATTAATGTGTAATGCATACTTTTTAAAGCACTTTTTTATAGTGTTTTCAGCAAATTAATAAAATAGAAGTTCTGCGTCTGATTACAGTCCAATAAGTCATTTATTCCATTCAAGTTTAACTACACTACGCATTCATTTTACCCAGGCAGTGCTTTATAAGCCACATTTTACTTGTTATTGGCAGGTCCATGTGATACTGTACTTGTTATTTCCTTCAGTTCTGTGCAGAAGAAAAAGAAGTCATGTTTACCTTCTTACAATATAGAAAAAATACAACATATAAATGTTATTGATGTTATTTTGCATGTTTTAAAAGACCCACATTTAAAGATGACATATACAGAATCATTTAGGTTGACAAGTCCGCTGATTTCCAGGGACAGCTCAGTGTTTAAAGATTTGTACTAGAATATTTTTTGAACACTAGTTTTAACATTGAACAACAGTTCCATGAGTTCCTTTCTTTTCTGAATGTTAAATTGTGTTTTATCTATCCATTAAGATAATTGCATATTGGATATATCTTGACCTACCTAAACACAAATGCTTAACTTGTCAATGAAGATAGGAGAGGGAACAGTAGGGTATGGCCAAAATTGCAAATCCTTTGGCAGGTAACACAGTGGATATACAGTATGTATTTGAACAGTGTATTTAGTGTGCATTTAGTATATAATTTGATTTATAATCGTAAGGTATTTAAGAAAGTAATAATTGCAACACTGCAATCACCTTGTGGCTGCAGGACATACCCTCTAAATTTGCTGGTTAATTGATTTTTGTTGGTCCAATTATTATTAGTATTGACACTTAATATTTTCATTGTTTTTTTATTGTGTTTGATTATAGGATCTCACTTTGGTTGTATAAATTTAAAATTTTTTGAATAACGACACTTTTTAGTCACAAACATAAGAGTGTATTGTTTCATGACACAACAAATGTTATAGCACATAAGGGGATTCATCGCCACAAAATCTTCATATAAATTGCAACTGATAGATGTTAGACTCATTAGTTATAAAAATGATCAATTGACTAAACAGGAACAATTCTGCTTATTTTCCCATTGCCTTAATTGTGAGTTCAGAACTTTTTCAGAATTTGCAATCTAGACCTCTAAAGGATTTGTTCAATGTCTCTTGAGGAACAAAGGACCAGTACCTAACTTATATATTGTAGTGTTATAGATATTTAGCAAACTTGGATAGGCTGTTTCTTTTGTAGCCAGACCCATATGTTAAAGGAAATTGTGTTAGCTTTATATTTTCTAATGACCATTTTCTTTCAACCCTGAATAACATTTTATACAAATATATACTGAGCCCACATTAGTGTTATCTGTAGTCCTAAGCTGAACATATCATTGTAGCTCTCCAACAACATTTTATAATGTGCATTCTTCCTTTTGTACATGACATAAAATAATGATTGTGACTGCTTTATTCTAAGATATCGGACAATGCAGTAGCCAACCTTGTCTAAATGGGGGGACGTGTGTGGAAGGAAGTAACCACTACAAATGTAATTGTCCCCCAGAATGGAAAGGATCCAACTGCCAGTTTAAAACACCATCAGGTATGTTATGCCTTCATAAAGCACAAATGAGAGAAATATAGGTGAAATATGCTATAACCATTTCTATTGTAGTGGTAGACATGAAAATTAAAATGATGGGATTTGTTAGTGGAATAGAAACCCATTGTTACAAGCTGGAATTTATAATAATAATATCTAGCAGAAGACTGCTGAAAATGGTCAAGGAGTTTGGATATTCCAAAGGGGGGAGGGGGTTCACGTTTTGCGAGGATTCCTGTACGTGCCTGGGTCAAATCAAAGTAGTGAAGCATGCATTGCAGCAAAATAAACCCCCTGGAACCTTGGTTTGACATCCTGGTGCGTGGAATAATCAGTGGACAGGTTTAGGCTTTGGTGGTCTTTTTTCAATGTCTTATAGCAATCCATTCCTTATTATGTACGTTATACAGGGTGTCACTCATGTTGTGCCCCCTGTTTGTCCGCTTCTTACTCCTTGAGATCTGAACTTAGTCCTGTCAGTTCTACCAATACCTCCTTTCACAAATATTCTGAAATTCCCGTTAGTGACTCTATACCACAAAGCAGCCTTCCTATTAGTTATTACATTGGGTGGTCGAGCCTAGGAATTGGCAGGTTTGTTTTGTAAGCTTCTGTTCCCAATCCGCCACAAGTTTAAAGGGGTGATGCATACAAGACTCTTGTTTTGCCCTAAATGGTATCCTCATTCTATCTAACAAGGAGCTTTACTTTCACTCTGTCCGGCTTTAGTGCATCTAAGGAGATTGCACTGCACTCTTTCAATGTGGTCAGGGAGATTACAGTGTATTTGAATTCTAACCCTTTTTTAGGAAGATTTGTCTTTGTCTTTTGGGAAGGCTACTGTAAGACTTTGGTCTCCAATATTTCCAAGTTGATTTGTCAGCTTATTTTATAAGCTTATTCCACCAGCGCGGTTAATGGGTCATAGACGTTCTGACAGCAAGATTTGGTGTTTTGATCTGTAGAACAGTGACTTGATCATTGGTACATACCGTTAAATATTCTATAAAGAGATTGTGGCAGCTTCAGTGGATGCAAAGTTTTGCAGGAGGCGATTCACCCTAGCAGACTTTGACTTCACCTGGTTAATTGTGTTTGTTGGTGTTTTAATAAATGCAAATGCGTCTTTCAGTGAAAAATACAGAGAAAATAGATTGTTTGTGCTCACTGTAAAATTCTTTCACTGTTTTTTCTTTTTTTTGAGGAACACACCCTAGTAGAGGTGGAGTTTAGCCAGCGGGTGGTGGTGCCCACATAGATTGCTTATTTGCATACATAGTGCCCTATTCCTGCAAGTGGCAATATAAACCTACATATCTAATGAAGTCAGCAGTGTCTCTCAATTAACAATTAAGAATTTCACATTGAGCACAATACATTTTTTTCACACTTTTCCATCATTCTTTAGATGTTTGCATTTTAATTAATTTACCCTTCTACCTATTTATTAAGCACCTTCCGAGTTGCCAGTCAATGATGCTGCCTTAAGCCGTAAAGCAGTGTGCACCAGAGTGGACCGTACTCAACACTGTAGCTGTGATCCTGGCTTCCAGATGAAAGGCACTCCTGAAAACAGCATATGTCAAGGTAAGTGATTTCCAAATTATAACACAATATTTCCAAAAGAATTAATAATAATCTAAGTGAATGTTTTGCTCAGGTCTACAAATCTAGGAGATTTTTCAGAGATAGGTGGCTCACCCTGGAACGAAACATTGCCCACCTGCAACCCCATATCCAGTCATGCCAATAGAAGTAATAGGAGTGACCCTGTGGTGTCTGGTACTACGGACAACTTTAT